ATATCTCAACAAAAACTAAAGCATTTAGAGCAAATCTGACACGGGGTAAAAATGTTCAATAGGTCAAGAACTATCAGCCCTGAAATTTTCAGACGAATCGAACAACCCATTGTTGGGTTGCTGCCACTAAATTGGTAATTTTAAGGAAATTTTGCAGTTTTTGGTTATTATCTTGAATATTATTGAAGATAAAGATAAACTGTAAACAGCAAAAATGTTCAGCAAAGTAAGATCTACAAAAAAAAAAAGTTTGATGACTAAAATTGTCAATTGACCTTTTAAGGAGTTATTGCCCTTTAAGGACAATTTTACACAATTTGTTCATCATGTTTGCTAACATTTAATAATCTTCTCTGAAACTACTGGGCCCAATACTTTTAAACTTTAACTGAATGATCCTTAGGGTAACTGGTTTATAAATATATCCGAACTATTGATCCATTAACAAACATGGCCAGACATAGCAATCCTACATTCCGTCGTCGTTGTCGGCAGCGTCCACAAATATTCACTGTGGTTAAAGTTTATGAAATTTTAATTACTTTCTTAAACTATCCTGGATTTCTACCAAACTTGGACAGAAGCTTGTTTATAATCATAAGATAGTATCCAGAAGTAAATTTTGTAAAAAAAAAATCCTGTTTATCCTTATTTTACTTATAAATGGACTTAATTTTTCTGCCAGTTAACATTACATTCACTCTTTTTTAGTTTCCGTTCTCTAACTTAAGTTGCCTCAACCAAATGTTATGAAACTTATACACAATGCTTTTTACCACAAAACACAGATCAAGTTGAATTTTGATAGCATCACTTTAATCATTATCGAGTTATGCCCCTTTATAAATCGATAAATTGCAAAAATTTTTAGTTTCCTTTCTGTAACTTAAGTTTGCCCCAACCAAACATTATGAAACCTATACACAATACTTATTACCTTAAAACTCAGATCAAGTACAAATTTGGGTAGCGTCACTTTCAAAATTTCAAAGTGAAAAAAAAAGTTTTTTAACAAAATTTACTTCTGGATACTATCTTATGATCATAAACAAGCTTCTGTCCAAGTTTGGTAGAAATCCAGGATATTTTAAGAAAGTTATTAAAATTTTAAAAACTTTAACCACAGAGTGAATGTAATGTTAACTGGCAGAAAAACTAAGTCCATTTATAAGTAAAATACGGAAAAACTAAATCAGTAAGAGCAAAACTGACATAGGTGAAAGTGTTCAACAAGATTACTGCAGTTCAGTACTACTATGAGATATCTGTACAGATCACTGCAGCTCAGTACTACTATGAGCTATCAGTGTAGACCACTGCAGTTCAGTACCATTATGATCTTTCTGAATAGACCATTGGAGTTTTCTTCAACTACATTATATTTTTCCTGTACAGATCATGGCAATCAATAACCAATCATCTTCCCTAGCCAAGGGTTACGATCCACTTCCCTCCTCTCCACCCTTGGAAGATTAAGCCAACATTTGTGATAACAATGTTGCGCCATCTATCGGTAGATTAAAGTCAAGCCCATTCCGAATACATTATTCTTGACCAATGGTAGCACTTGAACTCTTCAATTTGGAGGTAAAAACACGGTAGCATCTAGATTCTACAAACTTGGTAAAGCAGGAAACGAAAATATACGTTGGCATTCATGCATTTTTGCAAGAAAACATACACAGGAACTTCTATTAGTTGATTAAAAACATTGAAATTGTCACTAAATATAGTCGTATTTTTAGGGATGTAAAGACTTGTTGCACAATAAGCACGTGGCAATTGTTTGCATACACTTTCTACATTTACACGTGATCATGTTATAGGCGCTTTTTGAATGGATGCAGCGAGTTTCGACTGCAACCAATGAAAATCATTACCTTGTGTCTCCGAAATTCTATCTCAATCCGCCAAGGGTGGAGAGGAGGGAAGTGGATCGTAACCCTTGGCTAGCGAAGATGATAACCAATATGATGTCCATGCTTTATCATGTCATTACCACTTTTATCTGGCCCAAACTAGGCAACGTTAATAATTGGACATATTCAAATTCTATGCATTTACCATGTGTGTAGCTCCCCAGGATGTCTCCCTCCCCCCCTGTAATCAGCCTCAGAAAACATGATGATTAGTATCCTCCTCATAATAAACTTATACTGTGTGAAGGTCAGCATAAGTAAATAAAGTGTAAGTGGATAATATTGAGTTAAGTAAGAAGCATATGGTGTTTATTGTCTCAAGCATTTCTTATCTGAGTCTATATCAAGTGACCAACCTTTATAGTGGATTATGGATTCTCCGGAATATAGCACAATATAAGTGTTGGTTTTAAAATAAGAGAGACAAGGATTTTTCATCTTAAAAAGTTCTTTTTATCTAGCTGTAAAATTTACTGATTTCATTAATTTTGTAATACAAGATTTTTTAGCTAAAAAAATTGTAGCAAGTATAATAGTTATTCATTATAAGTATGAGGGTTAGCTTTATTGGATGTATCTAATGTATACGATGTTCTTATGGTTAATCCAAAATGATACATTGTAATAATTCAGGAATGATATTTCAGCAATTTAACTTTGTTTCATGGTAAAGCATGAGAAATGCAGGAAATCCAATTACATTAACCGGATGCATTAAGCCATCACAGTATTAAATTAAGAAATGTATTTTGTATTATGATTGCATTGTTTCTATTCAGCCTGATATCACATTTCATAATCTCACATTTTGTTGATGAACAATTAAGAAATAATTCATGAAGCCATAGATTTGTTGGAAAATTACACACGACCCAGGCCATGTGTAAATTTACAACAAATCTATGGCTTCCATGAATTATTTCAATTCTAATAGGACAAATACGGTCATTAAAAAACTGAAGCGAGGGTGGGTATGCCGTGTGTGTGGCTGTTCTTTTTTACTCCCTTTTAGGTAAAGCTAAAACATTCTAATAAATCTGTAGCTTGCATGAATTATTTCGTAAACAACCGCTAGAAAAAATGTGCTTAATTCTTTTAATTCTCAAACCCAACATTTGCCATTTTTAATTTACATGTTTTTCTCGTAAGCTACTGTCAAATCCTAAATATGCGAATAATGCAATAAAATAGAAAAAAAAACACCTACCTCAAAAATCCATTTTAATGTAATATTATACGAATTTCGATGGTTCACGTAACGGAAAAAAACCTTCAGCTTTAGCGTTTTCATTTGTATGACTTCATGTTTTGAAATGACTTAAATGCGCCAAAAGCATTAATGGACTTTCACAGAACTTTATTTTATTTTGATTTTGTAGATTTCTCCGAGCTCTTGTGCATTAATTCTTTTTGTTATGCATCCAAATAAGAATAAAAGTTCTGTAATCTTTTTTAAATTGCAATTTTTAAAACAATAAAATCGGCATAGCGTTTGCAAATAGGTTCCAATACATGTGGATTTACGAGGGAGGTATATTGTAACATCCATTATTATGTATATCTCTGAGTCTGCCCTAAGTATAGATATATCGAGAATTTTATCATGTGTTGTTTACAAAGCGAAAGAAGCAGGTCATATTAGAATTCAATAATAAAGCATACAACGAAGTCTGAATTGACAGTACATGTAACAGTATTTTTATTGCTCAGATAGAATCTGTTGATGAATAATAGAGCTACAATGAGTTTAGGAATAATAGTCAAGAACATTGTCAAAACTCTTTACAGACAACTTATAGATAGAATTAGATAAAATTTAACTCTTTCAATAATATTGATGCTGTAATCCTCCTCTTCAGATTTTTCTTTTTGTCAGTGGTTTGTTAAATGGAAGCAACTTTTAGTATTCATTGTTGTATGTGACAATTCTTTCTTCTGTGCAAACATCATGGTTATGGTGAATATCACTTAGTGTACCGTTAATTGATATTTTATAACCTTTGCTGCTTAATAAACTGGAATTTAACTTCAGTCTTTGTCAAGACAAAGGATCTCAGCAGTTTAATCAGTTATTGTTTCTTACAAGTTGTGGATATACTATTGTCTGGTATTATTAATAAATCATGGTTCTAAGCAGTTTTACAAATTTATTACTCCTACCAATGTTCCTCAACTTCAAGATATTTACAGATTTAGATTTGTAACCAAAATTCTCAACATATGGAGATCTACAGAATATTTCTATTTACTTGAAGGTTCAAAACAGCTCTACAAACTGATTAAATCAATGTTCTAAGTACATGTAGATTTACTATTGACTGTTTCTTCCAAGATTCCAAGTAGCTCTAAAATTAACTGTTTCTTCCAAGGTTCCCAGTAGTTCTTAGCTATACACTCAACAATTTATACTACCGTGCCAAGAAGTTCTACAATGAACTGTTTCTACTTAAGGGTTTCAAACAACTCTACAATTGAGTGTTTCTATCAGGGTTCCAAATAGCTCTATAATAGACTATTTCTACCAGGGTTCTAAGTTTCTAGGTGATAAATCTGAAACACTATTTAGGATCTGAACCAGACTGATTTATACTAAAATATGATGCAAGAAAGATTGTGTTTGAGATCAACTAGTCCCAAGTTCAAGGTCACAGACACTGAAATAGAACTCAAATAATGCATGAAATTGGTTTCTGAATGACAATTCAGGAACTTTATTTGGGGATGGAACCAAAGTTGGATAATATGTTCACATTTAATGAGGCTCAGAATTCTGCTTTAAGTAATTTGGTCCAAGTTCAAGGTCACAGGTACTGAAAATAGACAAAAATTAGAGCAGTAAAGATTTTTTTATAATGACTTAAGAATTTTATTTGGGGTTGAAACCTCTAAGATCAAGGTCACAGATACTCAAAATAGACAGAAATTTGTACAGTAAAGGGACTCTTGATGAAAACTCTAGAACCTCTGGATGTTAGAACTAAACTGAGAAATATGGTAATTGATATTGAGAGGAAGACTACTGGCTTTTTAGGGGGACAATAGAAAATGAAAGTTCGTACATCTGGACTACAAATGTACTGCTAATTTTTTATACGACCGCAAAAATTGAAAATTTTTTGGTCGTATATTGGTATGACGTTGGCGTCGTCGTCGTCGTCGTCGTCGTCGTCTGGCGTCGTCCGGCGTCGTCCGAAGACACATTGGTTTTCGCACTCTAACTTTAGTTTAAGTGAATGGATCTCCATGAAATTTTACCATAAGGTTCAATACCACGAAAGGAAGGTGGGGATTGATTTTGGGGGTTATGGTACCAACAGTTAAGGAATTAGGGGCCTAAAAGGGGCCAAAAATAAGCATTTTTGTAACTTCCAGACAATAACTTGTGTGTAAGTGTATGGATCTCTCTGACATTGTACCACAAGGTTCCATATCACAAAGGGAAGGCTGTAATTGATTTTGGGGGTAATTGCCTCAAAATTTTAGGAATTAGGGGCTAAAAAAAGGGGCAAAAAACAAGCATTTTTCTAGTTTCATGACAATAACTTGTGTGTAAGTGTTTGGATATTTCTGAAATTGTACTACAAGGTTCCATATCACAAAGGGAAAGCTGGAATTGAGTTTGGGGGTAATTGCCCGAAACGTTTAGGAATTGGGGGCCAAAAAGGGGCCAAAAATAAGCATTTTTCTAGTTTCCAGACAATAACTTGTGTTCAAGTGTATGGATCTCTCTGAAATTGTACTGCAAGGTACCATACCACAAAGGAAAGGCTGGGATTGAGTTTGGGGGTGATGAATCATAAGGGGGTTCAAAAAATTTGGGGGGGGGGATTTTTTTTTTTCTTTTTTTTCTTTTTTTCCTTTTTTTTTTCTTTTAAAATTTTCCATTTTAAGTTGGTTATTTCTGATTAATATTTAAAAGCAAATAATAATGATATGGTAGGAGATACACACCAAACAGGATGTGTAAATTATTATATAATAAGTATTGTGCAATAGCAAGAAATTTTCAATTGCACAGTATTGCACAATTGCACAGTATTGCGCAATAGCAAGAAATCTTCAATTGCACAGTATTGCGCAATAGCAAGAAATATCCAATAGCACAATATTGGGCAATAGCAAGAAATTGTCAATTGTACAGTATTGCACAATAGCAAGAAATATTCAATTGCACAGTATTGTGCAAAAGAAGATACTTCGTATAAATTGCTTATTTCTTGATCAATTTCAATGGGGTTTTATTCTTGAATTCTTGGGGTTCTTTAATATGCTGAATCTAACCGTGTATTAAGTTTTTGGATTTTGGGTCCCGTTTTTAAATTGGTCCCCATTGAGGTCCAAAGGGTCCAAAATTTAACTTTGTTTGATTTCATCAAAAATTGAATTATTGGGGTTCTTTGATATGCCGAATCTAACCGTGTATTTAGATTCTTAATTTTTGGTTCCGTTTTCAAATTGGTCTACATTAAGGTCAAAAGGGTCCAAAATTAAACTTAGTTTGATTTTAACAAAAATTGAATTTTTAGGGTACTTTGATATGCTGAATCTAAACATGTATTAAGATTTTTGATTATGGGCCCAGTTTTCAAGTTGGTCCAAATCGGGGTCCAAAATTAAACTTTGTTTGATTTCAACAAAAATTGAATATATGGGTTTCTTTGATATGCTGAATCTAACCATGTATTTAGATTTTTGATTTTTGGGCCCCATTATCAACTTTGTCCACATTGAGGTCAAAAGGGTCCAAAATTAAACTTTGTTTGATTTCATCAAAAATTGTGAATTCTTGGGGTTCTTTGATATGCTGAATCTAACCATGTATTTAGATTTTTTATTTGTGGACCTGCTATCAAATTGGTTCATATTGAGGTCAAAAGGGTCCAAAATTAAACTTTGTTTGATTTCATCAAAAATTGAATTATTGGGGTTCTTTGATATGCCAAATCTAACCGTGTATTTAGATTTTTAATTTTTGGTTCCGTTTTCAAATTGGTCTACATTAAGGTCAAAAGGGTCCAAAATTAAACTTAGTTTGATTTTAACAAAAATTGAATTTTTAGGGTACTTTGATATGCTGAATCTAAACATGTATTTAGATTTTTGATTATGGGCCCAGTTTTCAAGTTGGTCCAAATCGGGGTCCAAAATTAAACTTTGTTTGATTTCAACAAAAATTGAATATATGGGGTTCTTTGATATGCTGAATCTAACCATGTATTTAGATTTTTGATTTTTGGGCCCCGTTATCAACCTTGTCCACATTGAGGTCAAAAGGGTCCAAAATTAAACTTTGTTTGATTTCATCAAAAATTGAATTCTTGGGGTTCTTTGATATGCTGAATCTAACCATGTATTTAGATTTTTTATTTGTGGACCCGCTATCAAATTGGTTCATATTGAGGTCAAAAGGGTCCAAAATTTAACTTTGTTTGATTTCATCAAAAATTGAATTATTGGGGTTCTTTGATATGCCAAATCTAACCGTGTATTTAGATTTTTAATTTTGGGTCCCGTTTTTAAATTGGTCTACATTAAGGTCCAAAGGGTCCAAAATTAAACTTAGTTTGATTTTAACAAAAATTGAATTCTTGGGGTTCTTTGATATGCTGAATCTAAACATGTGTTTAGATTTTTGATTATGGGCCCAGTTTTCAAGATGGTCCAAATTGGGGTCCAAAATTAAACTTTGTTTGATTTCAACAAAAATTGAATATATGGGGTTCTTTGATATGCTGAATCTAACCATGTATTTAGATTTTAGATTTTTGGCCCAGTTTTCAAGTTGGTCCAAATTGGGGTCCAAAATTAAACTTTGTTTGATTTTAACAAAAATTGAATTTTTAGGGTACTTTGATATGCTGAATCTAAACATGTATTTAGATTTTTGATTATGGGCCCAGTTTTCAAGTTGGTCCAAATCAGGGTCCAATATTAAACTTTGTTTGATTTCAACAAAAATTGAATATATGGGGTTCTTTGATATGCTAAATCTAACCATGTATTTAGATTTTTGATTTTTGGGCCCCGTTATCAACTTTGTCCACATTGAGGTCAAAAGGGTCCAAAATTAAACTTTGTTTGATTTCATAAAAAATTGAATACTTGGGGTTCTTTGATATGCTGAATCTAATCATGTATTTAGATTTTTTATTTGTGGACCCGCTATCAAATTGGTTCATATTGAGGTCAAAAGGGTCCAAAATTAAACTTTGTTTGATTTCATCAAAAATTGAATTATTGGGGTTCTTTGATATGCCAAATCTAACCGTGTATTTAGATTTTTAATTTTGGGTCCCGTTTTTTAAATTGGTCTACATTAAGGTCCAAAGGGTCCAAAATTAAACTTAGTTTGATTTTAGCAAAAATTGAATTTTTGGGGTTCTTTGATATGCTGAATCTAAACATGTGTTTAGATTTTTGATTATGGGACCAGTTTTCAAGTTGGTCCAAGTTGGGGTCCAAAATTAAACTTTGTTTGATTTCAACAAAAATTGAATATATGGGGTTCTTTTATATGCTGAATCTAAACATGTATTTAGATTTTAGATTTTTGGCCCAGTTTTCAAGTTGGTCCAAATTGGGGTCCAAAATTAAACTTTATTTGATTTCAACAAAAATTGAATATATGGGGTTCTTTGATATGCTGAATCTTACCATGTATTTAGATTTTTTATTTTGTGGGCCTGCTATCAAATTGGTTCATATTGAGGTCAAAAGGGTCCAAAATTAAACTTTGTTTGATTTCATCAAAAATTGAATTTTTGGGGTTCTTTGATATGCCAAATCTAACCGTGTTTTTAGATTTTTAATTTTGGGTCCCGTTTTTTAAATTGGTCTACATTAAGGTCCAAAGTGTCCAAAATTAAACTTAGTTTGATTTTAACAAAAATTGAATTCTTGGGGTACTTTGATATGCTGAATCTAAACATGTGTTTAGATTTTTGATTATGGGACCATTTTTCAAGTTTGTCCAAGTTGGGGTCCAAAATTAAACTTTGTTTGATTTCAACAAAAATTGAATATATGGGGTTCTTTGATATGCTGAATCTAACCATGTATTTTGATTTTGGACATTGGACCATAATAGGTAAATTAAAAAAATTGAAGTTCTTAGACCACATTCTTTCTGTGTCAGAAACCTATGCTGTGTCAAATATTTAATCACAATCCAAATTCAGAGCTGTATCAAGCTTGAATGTTGTGTCCATACTTGCCCCAACTGTTCAGGGTTCGACCTCTGCGGTCGTATCAAGCTGCGCCCAGCGAAGCATTTTATTAGACTATTTCTGGCCGTTGATGTTTAATCCTGTGATTGTATTGTTTGGTTATTTCCCTGTTTGTGAACTTTGTCTAGTAAAACATCAATATTTGTCACATACAGTTTACATTAGAAGATTATTGGAGAATTTATATACATTTGTGCTCTCTTATAATAAGCTGATTGACTGAATGCAACAAAGAAACTTGGATATCTAGATGAATAATAGTGTCACCAAGTGGTTTATAAACATTAGAACCTAATAATAGTGGATGTTCAATACTTTGGAAAGCCAATAATCATAAAAATCTCTAATACTATCATATTTTCTGTAAACAAAGCTTTATAACAATAAGATAACATTAGTGATATTAATATGGCACAACAATGACCAGAATTGATCTTGGACAAGAAGTTATGACATTCTGGGTTTGTCAGAAGTTGTCAGAAGTAAATTAACTTCTTATAATCCCCAATTTGTTGTTACTTGGTGACATTAGCAATAACAGATATACATCATAATAAAGAATTGACTGGTACATATCTTCAACTAAATTGAGTTGCATGAGGTTGCTGTTTGTTTGTCTTTACAGGCATAGTGATCTCATCATGGTTTTAATCTTTTATTGCTGAAATGTATTTTATTATATAGATATAAGAAGATGAGGTATGAGTGCCAATGAGACAACTCTCCATCCAAGTCACAATTTATAAAATTAAACCATTATAGGTCAAAGTACGGCCTTCAACACGAAGCCTTGGCTCACACTGAACAGCAAGCTATAAAGGGCCCCAAAAAATTACTAGTATAAAACCATTCAAACAGGAAAGCCAATGGTCTAATCTATATGAGAAACGAGAAACACTTATGAACCACATCAACAAATGACAACTACTGAACATCAGATTCCTGACTTAGGACAGGTGCAAACAATTACAGCAGGTTTAAACGTTTTAATGGTACCAAACCTTCACCCTTATCTGAAACATACCATATAACCTGTTTTGCTATTTGGTCAATTATGAAGTTTTCTTCTAATTTGTTCAAGCAGCTGATGTGACAAATGTAGTTAAAAGATTATTTATCTTGGCTGTTTATGCTTATCAACTTTTTATAAGAAAAGCATTGTTAATAAATGTATGAAAAAAGGAAGCTCTTAAGTAACATAGAAAACCAAGGCAAATACATCATGTTTATTTCTATTCATTTCAATATCAATTTACTAACAGCATCAGTCATGCAATCACCAATTTAATGCTTCAATGAAGTACACTTCCTTGACTAGTAAATTATTTCTTTTAAACATATGCTTGTGACAATGTTTTAGAACCATTTTATGCTTGAGACATAATAGATTTAAACTTTTGGTAAGCTGGTTATTGGTCTTGTATATTTGTTTTTCATTCATTGTTTTGTCATAAATTCGACCGTTTGTTTTTATACTGTTGTTGACCAAAGACATTTGGTTTCCAGACAATAACTTGAGATCTCTTTGAAATTGAACCACAAGGACCGTTCAATACCTCAAAAGAAAGGTTCAAATTGATTTTGGGGGTAATGGCCCAATCTGTTTTCTAATTAGGGGCTTATAAGGGCTCAAAAAGTAGGATTTTCATGTTACTGGACAATAACTTGAGTATTAGGTCTATGGATCTCTATAAAATTGTACCACATGGTTCCATACCAAAAAAGGGAGGTTGGGATTGATTTTATGGGTTATGGCTCTAACCGGTAAGGAAAAAGGAGCCAAAATCAACACTTTTCTGATACTTTGTATAACTTGCTTATTTCTTGAGCAATTTAAATGGGGTTTAATTCAAAGTCTTGAATTCTTGGGGTTCTTTAATATACTTAATCTAACCTTGTATTTAGATTTTTAATTTTGGGACCTGTTTTCAAATTAGTCCACATTAAGGTCCAAAGGGTCCAAAATTAAACTTAGTTTGATATTAACAAAAATTGAATTTAAGGGTTTCTTTGATATGATGAACCTAAACATGTATTTAGATTTTCGATTTTGGGCCCAGTTTTCAATTTGGTTCAAATTGGGGTTCAAAATTAAACCTTGTTTGATTTCTACAAAACTTGAATATATGGGGTTCTTTGATATGCTGAATCTAACCATGTATTTAGATTTTTGATGTTGGACCATAATAGGTAAATGTCCAGTTTCAAATTTTTAAGTTAAACCACATTCATTCTGTGTCAGAAACCTATGCTATGTCTAATATTTAATCACAATACAAATTCAGAGATGTATCAAGCTTAAATGTAGTGTCCATACTTACCCCGACTGTTCAGTTTTCGATCTCTGTTGTCATATTAAGCTGCGCCCAACGTATCATTATATTTCTTTTGAATTGTTTCACATTTTGTTATATTGGGGCCTTTTACAGCTGACTACAGTAAGGGTTTTGTTCATTATTGAACATAAGATTTTACTATGTTTTACCTTTGTCTGGCTGTATATCAAACCATCTGGCCATTTGTATGTCATGGAAATGGTTTCACTTGCTTTTTATACAACTGTAAAAATTTTTACCTCTAAAGGAAGGTTGGGATTGATTTTGGGGGTTAGGGTACCAACAGTGTAGGAATTAGGGGCCAAAAACAAGCATTTTTGTAGTTTCGGGACAATTACTTGTGTGTAAGTGTATGGGTCTCTCTGAAATTGTACCACAAGGTTCCATATCACAAAGTGAAGGCTGGGATTGAGTTTGGGCGTATTTGCCCCAAACGTTCAGGAATTAGGGGCAAAAAAGGGGCCAAAAACAAGCATTTTCTAGTTTCCAGACAATGACTTGTGTTTAAGTGTATGGATCTCTCTAAAATTGTACTACAAGGTTCCATACCACAAAGGGAAGGCTGGGATAACGTTTGGGGGTAATTACTCCAAGGGGGGGAGGTCAAAAAGTTTGGGGCAATTTTTTTTTCCAATTTTTTTGGGGGTTCATATTTTTTTTCTTCAAAAGTTCTAGGTAAATTAAATGGATCACTTCAAATTTTTAAGATCTTTGACCACATTTATGTTATGTCAGAAACCTATATTATGTCAAAAATTTTATCACAATCCAAATTCAGACATTATCAAGCTTGAATATTGTGTCCAAACTTGCCCCAACTGTTCAGGTTCGACCTCTGCGGTCGTATCAGGCTGCGCTCAGCGAAGCCTGATATTCTTTAAAAGATTGATGATTCTTTTACTTAGTTTTCTGTGTTGTATCTGTGTTATTATGCTCCGCCGTAGCGGTCAGGGGGCATTAAGTTTTACCCTTGTCCATCTTTGGACAATAACTAAAAAATGCTTTTAGCAGTTCTCATGAAACTTTGGTGAATTGTTTATATCTGTTGATGTAAGCTCCCTTTAGAATTTTATAAATTTTAGATTTTACATTTCTGAGTTATGGGGTTTTATTCATTAAAAAAAGGGGATTTTCCAGTTTTTGGACAATAACTCAAAAATGCTTTCAGCAGTTCTCATGAAACTTTGGTGAATTACTTATAGCTATTGATGTAATCTCCCTATTGATTTTCATAAATTTCAAATATTACATTGAGAAGAAATTGAACTTTATTTGTTTATAGTCTTGACAACAGATTTACTAAGTATTGCGCAACAGCACAGTGTATTGCACAACAGCAAGAAATCTTTAATTGAATATAAATTCAATTCATATAACCAATTTCAAGTTCTTTGACTACATTTATTCAGAATCCTATAATATGTCAAATATTAAATTACAATCCAAATTCAGACCTCTATCAAGCTTGAATATTGTGTCCATTTTTGCCCCAACTGTTCAGGGTTGGACCTCTGCGGGCGTATCCAGCTGCACTCAGCGAAGCATTTTATTAAAACTGGAGTTATCTTCCTTTGTCCATGATTATAGTTGAATCAACTACAATCAATGCTTTATACAATGCAATGTTTAATTTTGACTTCCACTGATAAAACACAGATCAAGTTGATTTTGGATAGTGTAACTTTAACCATTATTGAGTTATGCCCCTTTATAAATAGAAAGATTGCAAAATTTTTAGTTTCCATTCTGTAACTTAAGTTTGCCTCAACCAAATGTTATGAAACTTATACACAATACTTATTACTACATAATGCAGATTAAGTACGAAATTTGGTGGCGACACTTTTACCATTCTTGAGTTATGTCCCTTTATAAACATAAAAATTGCTGAATTTTTAGTTTCCGTTTTTAACTTTAGTTTGTCTCAACCAAATGTTATAAAACTTATACACAACCGTTCTAGAGTTATGCGTGTTTACAAATAGAAAAATTGCTGAATTTTTAGTTTTTGTTCTCTACTTAAGTTAGCCTCAACCAAATGTTATGAGACTTACACACAATGCTTATTACCACAAAACTCAGATGAAGTTCAAATTAGGGTAGCGTCACTTTTACCGTTCTTCAGTTATGTCCCTTTATAACTATATGATATGCAAGTGGGGGCATCATCTGTGTCCACATGTGGACACTATCCACATTTATTTTTATTAGTTTCACAACTTTTATATTTGATCATGTATTAAGCTTATATAATTTACATATATGTATGGTATATAAAATTTGTAATATCTTAAGGTGTTTTGACAAGATATTTACCTATTCACTATTGTGTGACACCTTTATAATATCGGCACGTTTTGTCAACAGATTTACAAGAATATAATGACAGTTGTGTCTAGAGGAGCAGTATTGGATTACTTACCATTCTGTACCCAAGTTCTCCCACCCCTATTTTTAATTGGGATTTATGTTGCTCAATCTTTGATTTTCTCTGAGATATTTTGTGAACTACTGTTTGTCTGTTCATCTTTTTAGCTGAGTTGAACAAAGTGAAAAACTGGCTAATCACTTAAAATGATGTCTTGGAAATGTAACCAATTCCTCTTACAGTTTTAAAACCCAGATCATTGAAACTTCACAGAAAGATTGCACACAATATTGAGGTTGTACACTTGATATTATGGAGATTTTTGAGGATTTTTTTCCTACCTTCCC